TGTATCGTAAAGTTGTATTCGGAAAGAATAAACCAGTTTTATTAGGTAAAGAACTTGTGTCGCTAATGTTTCGTCGGAACGAAGTTACGGAAAGTTAATTAACAAACGGAGACGTAACAATATTTAAAAAAAAACAAAAAAAACGGTCATCAGAATGATATCCAGAATAATCTGGCACCAGAAAAGTATTTAGAAAATAATTTGATGCAGAATAAAATCTAGAGTGAAAGGATCTGGCACGGAACAGAATTCAAGAAGAAAATGATATGATACCAAGACGACGTCTAAAGCAATTATCAAGAGTTGAGGGAAAATTCTACGAAAAGATGTTTGGAAAACCTAACACTAATTCAATAATTAGAGGATAATATAGAATCATTGGTTTTTCTAAGAAATAATCACACGCAAAGTGGGATGCAGTAAATTAACCAAACATCAGAGAAAGACCAGGAATATTTATCATACACAGGGATAAAGATATGTATATAAATAACTTGGGCAACAGAGCTCACTGTGGAATATTATTTAAACATCAGAACAGGATCCACAAAATCATCAGACACAAGGGCAAAATGTACAAAGTAAAATAAAATTAGGTGCCAGAATATTATCTCAGAATAACGAGTCATTAAGATGAAATCTTGAAATTAATTAGATTTTATATATGTAGAATATTGTTCAATTGCCAAGAAAGGGATCCATAAGATGATCAGAAACTAGGGCATGATTAAAAAAATATATATATCAGACGCCAGAATATTATCTGAAGGATATTCAGTCACTGGTATAATAGTTTAAAATTAGTTATGAATGAGGCCTAAGGTTGCATCAGGAAGGTATATAAATTATCTAAATCTTTGTCGACCATAAAAAAAAGCAACTTCCATTGTATCAGTATTGCAGAAAACATTACTCCACAAAACACATAGAGCATATATAATGTGGAAAAATTATTTTTTAGGCTGAAGGGAAAATCCTATGTATTTTTCATGAATGTTTAAGCCTAATAGTTGTTTATACATATTTCTCTGTTTTTCATTGTTTGTGTTCTGAAGACTTTCCTAATTCGTCAAGCAATGTTTACTCTCATCTAGTAATAGTCATCAAAACAACATTTTAAAATTATGTTTGCATAAAACATAAAAGATGTGGCAGAGAACACTGTCAAACTCAATTATATAAACTTTTATCAGATAACAAGAAATGAAGGTTTTTAAAAATTTTTTTACCTGAAAATATATTATTTATCAAACTGTCACAAGTTCATCAGTAGCTTTAAGAAAAGCTACATAAAATTGGCAGGTATGAAAAAAAACATGCTAAGTAAAGTTTGAATTGGTCAATAACATATAAACTGAAGTACATTTTCTTCTTAGGAATGATAACTAATTTATATATTTTAAATGTATTCATGGTTCCATGAACAGTCAGTACTATAAAGCTACAAAGTATGACTTTATTTGTTAAACCTTATAAGCTTAGTTTGAAATAATAAATCGTGCCTTTTAATAATTGCCATTTGTTTCTACTTTCAAGGTCTTGGGAGCTTATTTGAATTATATGACAACAGTTGGAAGTTTGTTAGGGGGCGATGAAAATGACGTTCGCCGTCAAATGTCTGATGTTATTGAATTTGAGACAAAACTTGCAAACGTAAGTCTAAATATATTTTTTTCATTTGTTTGTTTAATGTATATACGTGTTTCTTTTCTTTATTTGTCGTTTTGTCTAATTCATTTACCTTTTTTTTCTTCTTTTTTTCCCTCTATTTTTTTTTTGCTTACCTAATCTAATTACCTGTTTTTCCTACCCTTTTTCCTAATTCATCTACCTGGATTTTTTACCTTTCTTTATTTATAAATGTGCCTAATCTGTTTACCTGTAGTTCTTAGTTCTTTTTTACCTGACTAGATACAAAGGAATCATAGGTAGATGGAGTAAATGAACTGACAGGTAAAAGTAAAGAGAAAGAAACACATTTAATCTGTCAGTTTATCTATTCTATTTACCTGAGTTTCTATCTCTTAACTTTTATATGTCAGTTTATTTACTCTACCTATTTTTCTTTTCATTTTAAGCTGTTATTTCATCTAATCTATCTACCTGTGTTTCTCTCTCTCTCTTTTTTTTCAACCTGTCGGTTTGCCTAATAACATTGCATAAAATTTAAGGACAACAAGGGACCTTGATTCATCTAAGCCATCCTGTCCAGTCAACTAAACTAAATTAGAAAAAAACAACTCAAAGCCAGCCTTTATCATTTAGTTATTTATCAAATCTCCCATTTAACTTTCTTTACTGCATCCACCATATATAAAGGTAACCCATTCCAAAGACCAACTACCCTGTTAGAAAAATAAAACTATCCTAGTTGAAGATGACTCCCATTTTACCAAAATTTACAATTGTGTCCTTTTGTCCTAACACTTTCACCATTAAATATAAAAAAAATATGATGCATCTACACTACCAATTCGCTTGACAATCTAAGCTCAATCGGATCCCCTCTAACTCTTGTTTTTTCAAGAGAAAATGATTTCATAGATCTTAACCTGTCCTCGTGTAACAACGTTTCCTTCCCAGGTATCATTCAGGTAACCCTTCTCTGAATCATTTCCAACAATTCAAGGTCCTTCCAAAGGTAAGCGGCCCAAATGTAAACTAACCAGTGACCTATACAATGAAATTATAACCTCTCTAAACTTGTATTCAGTATTTCTGTAAATATAACCTAAAATACTATTTACCCTAACATTAGCAACAGCACACTGCTTGGATGGCTTATAAGATTGATCAACCAGAACACCAAGATCCATTTCTATCATGACGTTGTTAAGGTTATTCCCACCAAAATAATACTTTTAGTTCAAATTATGATAACTCACATGCATTACCTTATTATAATTAAAAACCATTTGCTGTTTATTTGCTCAATGCACCAAATGATCTAAATCTTTTTTATGAAATAGCAGCATCCTCACAACCAGCAACACCCATGACCTCAGTATCATCAGCAAATTTAAGTAATCTATTAGCCATTCCTTCATCTATGTTATTTTTTCTTTTTTACCTCTAAGTATGATTAATCTATCTATTTGTGTTTCTTTTGTCTTTTTTACCTCTCATTATGTTTAAATACAGGGGCAGTGTTAAGGTATTTGTAAATGTATGCATGGAGGATCTGAGGGGGATGGGTCCCCAGCTGGGGTTTGGTGGCAGGAAAAAACTGCATAAAGATATCCCCATGATAGTTACATATATATACAAATTATTATTATTGTTTGTTTTATTTCGTAGTTGATTTTTAACATCACATTCTCTTTTTTTTTTATTTACGGCTCTCAAAATTTACTGTCAGCATCCCTCATTTATTTGTGTCACTTTCATCTCTGCTATCTTCACCGTGATATATCATGAATAGCCACGAACCAGTTGCATATCTATCAGAAGTATCAGGTCAAATAGAATTTAAGAGATGCTACTGTCATACACACAGTTTATATCAGAATAATTCATACATTAGGTTTTTGCTTTTCCAAATATAACCTATGCATGGTGCATATCATGTGCAAAGGAAATGATGTCTTTGAATCTATATATTTGTGTTTTTCTTATCAGTCAGTTTCTTTTCTATTACTGTATGATATAGATCACCATACCAACTGATCAGCGGTTAGATGAAGAAAAGATTTACCACAAGATGACCATTGGTCAGCTCCAAAAGCTTGCTCCTGTGATCGACTGGGTGCTGTACTTTAACCATGGGTTCAATCAAATCGGAAGAAATATTAAGAGTTCAGAGAATATTGTGGTTTATTCCCCAGAGTTCTTGCAGGATATGTCAACTATAGTTACTCAATACTTGTCTACTCCTGAAGGCAAAACGTAAGTTGTTGTTAAATGCATTTGATGATTGAATAGGGTTATAGTTTCCAAATATTCATGTTTATAGGGTTTTAATTTTCAAATATTCATGTTTATAGGGTTATAGTTTCCAAATATTCATGTTTATAGGGTTATAGTTTCCAAATATTCATGTTTATAGGGTTATAGTTTCCAAATATTCATGTTTATGACAGAAAATGTGAGTTTTGATCAGGATAAAAAAAAAATTATTAGTTAACATAACTGATAATATAAGATTTTCACAAATTAATTCTTTGTTTTTTAAATATCACAAAACAATGTGTCAAGTCAATTCACCTACTTATCCTAAGTAGTGGTAACCCACTTGAACAGAACCTTTAAAAATTACGCTCATCATGCACTACACTCCTTGTTTTTTTTTTATCATGTACAGCAGTTCTGTCACCTGGTGGTCTAGTCTACCATGTGCACACACCTTTCACCATGATGAAATTGCAGCTTCATTTATTACACATTACCATGTTGTATTTTCAAGTCAAAGATATTAGTTATGATCAAACTGAAATAAAAATAGAAAATAATAGGAATATATCATATATCACAAATAGGAAGTCACAAAACAGTTTATTGATTGGCATTGCATAACTAGGAAACTAAATAAATATGTAAGTAGCTATAGGAAGACTTAAATGTGTATGGTAGATAATTTTGTGTTTTATTATATATATATCTTACTATGTATTTTATTAACAGGATCTTGAACAATTACCTAGGGTGGTCTGTTGTGAAAAATCTGGTTTCTTTTCTGTCCAAGCCTTTCAGGGAATCTCCAGAGGGTTTACGAAAAGCTCTGATTGGTTCTGAAGGTGTGCAAGCACCTTGGAGATACTGTGTTGGAGATACCAATGAGGTGATTGGATTTGCCTTAGGCGCCATGTTTGTTCGAGACGTTTTCAATGGAGACAGCAAGGCTAAGGTCTCTCTCTCTTTTTTTTATCTTGTTTAATCACCAGAAACTGTTTTTTTTAATTAACTTTTGTTAAAAAGTGAATTAACGATAATTATCAGGATATACTACCTTGAAAATAATTTGTATGGAAACTGTTTACCTGATAGCTACCATGAAACACCATACAATAATAATAATAATAAAAATATATAAGATCTTGGTACTTGTGTTAAACCTAATGAGGTAGTTATTCATCCAATGTACTGCAACATAGTGTATATAAATTTAAGTAGAATGGCTGTGAAAACTCCAAGAGGTAGTTAAAAATATCCACAATACAGCAGGCTCAGAAAATCTTATGCAGAGAATATTTTTGAACACTATTGGCTGGCTTCTGTTTTCTGTTTTGACTTTTCACTGGCTGCTTGGGTTTAAGATAAAGCTTCCTAAATATGTCTACAAAACAAATTGCAAATTCAGAGTATACAGAGAGCTGTATGGATGCCCTCACTTTTATTGTCAGACTGAGGCTTTAATGCAGTATCCCATAGTACATTGCCTACCTATTTCAATGATCATTTGAAATATATTCAAGGGGGCAATCAACCCTAACACATGCCATCTTACACAGGTCTCTGAATCATCTCTTGGAATGGGGAGTGGTTTAGACCACAAAACAGAGGGGGGAGGGGGGCTGAACTCCCAGTTTTTGTGATTTTAAAAGATTATACTTACATAGTTATAGCACAGCTGCTTATGGTATTTAACATTTTCTACATGGCCTACATTTTTCTGCTGAAGCATTAGTGGGCCGCATATAGTGGTTAAAAGCATGCTTCAGTATACCATGTATCTTTATGTTGCTGAAACTTTTTTGCTACACAGTCACTAATTTCATGTTCATGTGAACGTTCAGCATATGCTATCTGCTGGTTGAATAATTACCTGAGGTGTACACAAACCGAAGAAAGACTGAGTGCTCTAGCTTTAATGCATAGTCATTATGACACTGTTATCAACATTGAAACTGTGTACAAGTTATTTATGGAAAAGCATGCCTGAAGAATGGAGCATGCTAACATGTTATTTCAGTAGTTCATACATATACTTGCATGATAGCCATTGATTGAAATGGTAAATATACTGTTGTTGTTTAATTTAGTAATATGACTTAACAGTTGATAACTACTCTGTATGTAGATAGTACAGTACTTTACTATAATACAACATACATATTGATGCTAACTTAAGTCTAGCTCCCCATGTAGTGTTACAACAGAGTGATGATTTGTTGACATTTCACTGGATATTTGTGGATTTCATCTGAACAGCCATACAAGTATACTTCCAGGTTTAATCTCATAGCACCTATTTTGTTGTTACAAATTTTCTGGAGTGGGGTATACCCCCATGCCCATAGCATTGTTCTTCACACAATATGTGTTGGCTTTTGACCTCACAAATTAGAAAACCCACTTTCAAACATTCTGCAACATGGGCCTGACATGTCCATGTGTGCATATGCTCTAAGAATGAATTAATGTTGTGACCTTTACTTAAACAAAAGATTAGTATCTGTTTACAACCTTTTTTACATCTGGTTAACATGGATTTAATCAAAGATACGCAGAACTTGCATGAAAGTTCAAAAAAATTAAATGAACATACCTTACCGAAGATCTATCCTATACTAGGAGAATAAATAATTATGATATAAAATCATTACGCCTTCATGAGTAGCAACTTTATTGATTTAATAGTTAAGTTTCAATGTCATTTTCCTAAAAGCAAAGTGTCACTGTGATTTCAATGGAGTTTCTTGTCAAATTGTTTTTAGAAAACGATGACAAGTAACCCATGATTTTTCTACTAATAATTTAACAATCTTGCAAGTTACACTTATTAATAAGTTAGCTTTTTTCTTGTCGTTGTTAATGCTTTACTATAATGCTCCTATGGAAAATTTAATAAGAGATTATTTCATCTTTAATTTTGTTTTTTATTCATTTATTTAGTCCACCATAGGGAATCGAACCTTCACATATTAGCATTATAAGTCCTCAAACTCATTGCTTACTCAAAGAATACTTCTGAAATCAAATTACTCAACTTTAATAGTGATATTTAAGGGGTATTTGGTGACATTAAGGTTTTACTCATTCACACTGAAACTTAAACCTTTATCACTTAAATGGAAGTTTTCCCCTATAATGATGTTTACTGCACATGCAGTAGTAGGTGGTAATAATATGTAAATTATATGCAAAACTGTAGTTCGTAGTAATTGGTTGTGATCTTTCTTAATTATATTTCTTTTTCATCAAATTTCATCATAACGAAAGTTATTATAAATTTAAATTTTTGGGTTTAAATATTCTTGACTATCTATATAAAAACTGAAATAAAATGTTTTGCTATAAACAAAAATCACTATTAATAAACACTAAAGATCAAAAAAGTTTTGTTGTACGTCAATCATAATTTCTTTTGCTATTGTAGAAACCTGAAAATGGGTAATGGGTTTCACCCAAAATGTAGCCACTATATTATTTTCATACACTCTTGTTCTAAGATTCAACCCAACTGTTCTTTCAGAACTAAAATACTTACATAGGTGGGGGCCAAGCATGGTCAGGTGGTTAGGGCGCTTGACTCGCAATCTGCGGGTTTGAATCCCCGTCACACTAAACATGCTCGCCCTTCCAGCCATGGGGGCATTATAATGTGACGGTCAATCCCACTATTCGTTGGTAAAAGAGTAGCCCAAGAGTTGGCGGTGGGTGGTGATGACTAGCTGCCTTCGCCCTAGTCTTACACTGCTAAATTAGGGATGGCTAGCACAGATAGCCCTTGTGTAGTTTTGTGTGAAATTCATAACAAAACAAACATTTAGGTGGTACAAATATTAACTAACAAGGTAAAAGCACTATATTTTATCAACAGAATACTGCCAAGGTTGGAATTAGGAAACATCCACCACTAAAAAAAATGAGGGTTGAAAGTTTTTATACAATGAAGTTGTGTTGGTTCTTTTATAGGCAGAAAACATGATCAATGAGATAAAAAAATCTTTTAAAGACAATATGCCTCTTTTAGACTGGATGGATGCCGAAACAAGACATCTGGCTAAAAAAAAGGTATTGGTAATCATTTTCATCTTCCTTTTCCTTATTTTCTTTCCTGTATCACACCCTATTTTCATGTGGTATGCTTAAATAAAAGTTACATTTTCAGTTAGGTTTGTCTAGGTTCAGTTGGGCACTGATTATCTAAAGAATATATTTAAAACAAAATTATTAAGTACTTTAAAAGAAAAGAAAAGTTTTTATAGTAAGTTAGCTATTAAATGATTAAAAATAAAGTAGAATTAATTACCAGATGAACCTTTTTTCTACTGTAAAACTTAAAAAAGAAAACAAATGTTATAGCTTTTTAGCACGTTCTAGAAAAACATAGATGGCTCCAACAGATTTAATTCTTCCAGCTTCACTAAATTTTTAAAGCTTTATTTGTATATAACTGAACATTTTCAATCCGTTTCATCGTACCTAAATTTTTACAATTAGTTAGCAATCAAGTGGAATTGATTATAGTTTATTTAAGCAATACTATGAAGTATGAGGTAACATAAAAATTAATGTTATACATATAATGGAGCCTGGTGGTTAGGGAGCTCAACTCACAATCTGAGGGTCACATGTTCATATCCCTGTCACCAAACATGCACGTCCTGTATGGTTCCTGACTGGACCAGCCACACGGGTATAAAAATTCTAGGCTTACAACAATACTGCTCGACCCCAAACTAGTTGGGACTGAGGCCGTAAAAGAATATTGTTACGTCTCCGTTCGTTAGTTAATTTTCCGTAAATTCGTTCCGACGAAACTTTAGCGACACAAGTCCTTTCTTAAATAAAACTGGTTTATTCTTTCCGAATACAACTTACGATACACTTAATTTCAACAGTCGCTCTATAACAAACGCTCACGTCTCACTTGGCCAACATTATTATGTCCGCATACATTCAATTACTCATTACCTACACATTGTCCCGTCACGTTGTGACCATCTTATATATACCAGACTACCCCAATCTAGCAATCTCCCAACAATTCACGAAGGTTCAAGAAAGAAGTGGCGTGATACTAGTCACGTGACCTCGCTGACGCAACAATATATATATATATAATGTGTGTTTTCTCATCCATTTCATATTTGCAAGATTCAGATTGGTTATTTAATGTCAGGATGAAAAGTTGGTACCGTTTTTGAAATAATTATATTCATGATCAGGTATTTCATTCACATGTTTTTCAGCAATAGAAAAAAACCACTGAAGGAGAAGGTGAAATAATATTTTTAATTCAGTTTTTGTGATTAGTAATTTACATTTTGCATAATATATTTTTCCAGGCTGATGCAATCATTGAGATGATTGGATTTCCAGATTTCATCTTGAGCCCTGATAAATTGGATGAAAAATACAAGGGGTTCATCTTATTACTGTTCTATAAATGAATTTTTCGCATTCAAAAACACTAGATGAAGCTGGTCAAAATAGTGTGTATAACATATATTTCTAAAAATCTGAGCAACAACACAAGGCTATTGTCACTATCCATCTGTAAGACTGATATTACTAAAAACTGTAAGAAAATACAAAATAAGAGCATGTACAATTACTCATAATTTGCACATTTAAACCCATTTTGGTATGCATACGTGCTTATTGTTATTCCCTCAGCTATTATAAAATTGCAAAGTTTGACAATCATGCTGAAACAAGTTGATGTCTCATGGTCCATACCTAATGCTTGTTTGTTTGTTTTGAATTTCACGAACAGATACACGAGGGCTATCTGTGCTAGCCATCCCTAATTTAGCAGAGTAAGACTAGAGGGAAGGCAGCTAGTCATCACCACCCATCGCCAACTCTTGGGCCACTCTTTTACCAACAAATAGTGGGATTGACCAACACATGATAATGTCCCCCATGGCTGGAAGGGTAAGCATGTTTGGTGGGATGGATTCGAACCCGCAACCCGAAGATTGCGAGTCGAGCTCCCTAACCACCTGGGCCCCATATCTAATGCTCCCCAATGGCTTAGTTGTAAGTCTGCAGACTTATTATGCTAAAAATCAGGTCTCGATATCCATGGTGGGCAGAGCATGGATAGCTCATTGTGTAGTTTTGCAGTTAACAACAAATAACAAGGTTCAAAACTGCAAAAATAACTTACTAGCCTGCAGTTATGTTGATTCTATACAGATAAGCTATTAATCTTCCATCAGATGGAACATATATTTTTATCAATAAAGTGCATTTTATAAAGTTTTTTTTTTTTTCCTTATTATTAAATAGCATTATATTATTTCTTTGAGGTCACTTTTATGGAGAATGAGTATTTTGAAAACAACATTCGATCCAGAAAGTTCTTTCTCATCAGAAATATGAAACGTTTGGACCAGCCAGTCAACAATACAGAATGGGAAATGACACCCCTTGAGGTTGATGCATATTACACTGCAACAAAAAATCGAATTGGTAAATGAATTTTAAATATATTCACCATGTTTTGAGATGTTTATCTATGGAGATACCTTCAGACTTCTCAACAGAAAAATGTTAATAATTGTATGATATGTTTTTCCATAATCTTCAATTAACTTAATGAATTTGAACAAAATTTTGATGTGAGATAATATATAGTAATGATTAGTACATAGAAATTCTTTAATTGAATAAAAATGGAGCCATTTTAAAATCATTAGGTATCATCTATCAAACTTTAAAATTTTCTGGTAAATAAAGGCTAATTTAGTTTCATACAACTACTGAAAGGAAGAATTATTAAAGTTAGTATTTAGTTTTTTAGGAATTGTATATCAATTCCATGGTAGAGCTTTAACAGACGAAGCCTTTTTTTTCTCCTGAACTTTTAAATTAATTTTAGTTAATTCATTATTGATTTGAATGTTGCATACATTCATTGTTTAACTGCAAATACACAGTTTATTTCTTGGTTCACGACTTGTTGGAAATTAGGTTTAGGCATATACTTTACTATATGTCAAATTTTGAAATTGATTGGTATATAACTTCATCATATTTTTGGAATAAATTACTATTTAAGCCTAAATAAAACACATTCTGTAATTTTACTTGTGTAATTAAAATATTGTTTTGATTTTCTTCAGTTTTTCCAGCTGGAATTCTTCAGAGTCCATTCTATGATACAGAATACCCTAAGTAAGTTAAGTTGATGATTATGACCAAAGGACTTGTAAGGTTTGTAGAAGAAGGATGTTGTTCGATCATAAGAATTTCAGGATATTTGGGAAGAAAACAAAATTAGACTGAACAGTGTTTGATGTTAAGATTTTGATTAAACAAAATGCTCATATTTTAACTTAAAAGTTAAAATATTTATAATACTGAAAAATAACTCCTTGTCAATCAAAATAAAATGTTTTAACAAGTAGCTTTGTTTACATTTCAGCTTGATAAATCATAATATAGCAATATTTTTATTACTTCATAATGTTAAGTTTTACTGTTTATTTAATAATGGATTAATTACAGTTTGTTTTCATTAAATTCCATGAGAACACAAATACGAAGCAACTTCAATAAGAATGTACTTACATTATTGATTTCAGTGTGTCAAGAATTTTGTTTTTGTCAACTTAGGTCACTCAATTTTGGGGCTATCGGAGTCGTGATGGGGCATGAATTGACACATGCTTTTGATGACCAAGGTGATCAAGTGTTTCTTATATAACTTTTAGACGAATTTTTAGATAGCTATTGAGTTCAAATACTTCATATTTTCTTGCCCAGAAAAATTAGAAAGCCTACTTTAGTAAATTTTAAGCAACCAAAAGACAAGAAGTAAGTAAAATTAATCTAAAATTTATCTTTCATGAGTAAATGTACTTTCATTTAATACAGTTGTTATTATTAGATTTTGATTTACTCACAGAATTCCCCCCCCCTCCTTTCAAGCTTCCCAACAGAAAGAGTTTTAACTATGAATTAATAATGTTTGCTCTCCAGTTATGTACTCAAACAAAGATGTAATACCTAAAAATACTATTTTAAGATAAGATAAGTTAAGATAAGATAAGATAAGTTAAGAGATAAAAACACAAATCTAACCAAAGAAAGTACTACTTAAATACATAATTATGATATATTCAATGTTTCTTTTGCAAAAAAAAAAGTCATTTTTTTATTTTATTTTACTCTTAAGGCCGAAAGTATGACAAAAACGGAAACTTAAAACAGTGGTGGAAGAACAAGACAATTGAGGAATTTCTGGAACGAACAAAGTGTTTTATTGACCAGTATTCTTCCTACTCAATAAATGATGATCATGTGAGTATAAAAATATTAATAATCATTTATGTGTTTAATATTAAAATTTATGTCTGTATGTTCACCATTATGTCACCCGCCTCCAAGCTAATGCCATCCATTAATATATTCTTATATATTTATTTTAGATTTGACCCTATTATAGATCTAATCCTCACCTGACCACCAGTTAAGAAAGCCTGAATTGAGTACAGAGTTAAACAAGTTTCATGATTTTTTAGCTTTTAATCCCACTTTATTAAATGGATAAATATAATTATTCAAAATATTTTTTATTGCACAAGATTTTTCAAGCAGTCAGGTGTAATTAAAGCAAAAAACATTATGGGCCAAGAAAAAGGTCAAAAGTTTTAGATTCATGAGTGAAATCTGATATTTTATCAATGATAGGGAATTTCACCAAATGGTTAGTTTCATTCCAGCTCTGGCTGTTTTTGTATATCAAATATATCCTGTACAATTTAATTTATGGTAATCAGAAAATTGTATGATAGGTTAATTGAAGAAATGGGAGGAAAAAGGTGGATATAAGGGGGGATGAAGGTCATTAAAAAATAATTGTTTGTCACGTTTTGATCAGGTAAAAATACTTTAACGACAGGGAAATTGTTTTGGAGTATTTCTTTTATCTTTACACATTTAATATTTAGTATTTATTCATTGTGTTAGGGTATAAGAAAATTAACTAATAAAAAGCAACATAATAACATAAAATATTGATGCTATAATTTATCTCCCCCTTCCATCTTTCAAATGTCATAACTGGTTGTTAACCTACTTGTTAAACTTGAAACCATGAGAACCCGAAAATATATATATGTTTGCTGCTCATTCCTCCCTCCCTTGTCTCTTTTATCTTTTTTTGTACATCATATGCACTAAACTACTGGCCAGATGTCCATAGGTTCAGTCTTCCCACCCTTTTGTATCAGGATGTTTTTCTCTCGAACTTGGTTGAACTAAAAATAAACTTCAGCATGGTCTTATTTTCGTCCCATGTAGTTTCAGATTTAAATTACTGCTCATGTTCTTTAGTATACTTGTTGACTCCAACAGGATACTAAATACATTATCATAGCTGTTTTAGTAGAAAATATTTGATATTTTCTCACTTGCGATATTTGTTTGGAGATATTTTGTATTTAATACAAATTATATACCAAATTCTAAAAATTGTTACAAGCCTTTTCTCCTAATAAAATTTTGGAAAAACTACGAAAATAAGATCCAAAATGATAATATAAATTAACTGAATTGAATTGGAATATACTCTATGAAGTTCAGTTCTCTATTACTTGAAAATATAAAATTTCATCCAGTCAGAACAAAACTTATAAAATATATTTATATACCAACTTTCTATCTAATCTATATATATGTGGTTTAGTTTAGAAAGAAACATTAGTATTAAAATTTGACATTGTATACACCAAAAACAACAGAAATGTTTTCATAAAAACAGTTACGCTACGATTAAAGTGCATATAACTTTACGCTGATATTGTAAATTTATACTTTCACTTCTAATACACAGGTTAATGGAAAACAAACTCTTGGAGAAAATATAGCAGACAATGGTGGTATCAAAGCAGCTTTTCATGTAAGTGTCTTTATATTGTTCTGAGGTTTATTTTTGCCTAACTTCGTCTGTTTCATCATTTAATTTCTCTCATAGTCACTAAAGTATATGTTACTTTTATTGAAATGCATAATTTGTAATCACAAAATACTAATAATTTTGAAGATAATAATTTGATGATGTAGTTAGGTATCTATAAAAGGTGGGACCAGTAGATGAATGTAAAATCATTTTAAATTTTGTCTAAATGTTAATTATCTTTTAAGTGTGTTTTTCTCTTGTTTGACATGGTATTGATTTTGAAACTTGTGATATTTTTTGAAAGATTAAACATGATTTATTTTTCTGTTAAGGCCTATGAAGAATGGAGTAATTCTCATGAGATGGAGTCACCTCTACCAGGTGTTAATCTTACACACAGACAGTTGTTTTTCGTAGGATTTTCTCAGGTCTGGTGCTCAGTGAGCACTCCTGAATCACAACACCTCCAAATTCTGAATGACTTGCATAGTCCAGCAAAGTATCGGTCAGTAAATATTTTGCATTTTTCTTGCAAGGTTTTATTCAGAATTTAAAAAAATACTCAACGAAGCAGCTTACCATAATTTCATTACTAAGTTTAACTGAGAAAGATTGCCGTAAATAGTATTGTTGCATCAGCGAGATCACGTGACTATTGTCACGCCACCTGCTTTCTAGAACTATCCCGTTCCTTCGGGA